GATAACAAAAAATTAACATGTCTTGTCCTGCTAGATTATACAAAAGCATTTGATACTATAAACCATGTGTTACTTATATCAATTCTTAAGTTTGTCGGACTTTTAGAAGGTTCATTAGAATTAATAAAGATGTTTTTGTGTAATAGAACTCAGGCGGTGCAATATAATGGTAAGTTATCAAATTTTCTTGAGATTGAATGTGGTGTCCCTCAAGGTTCTATTTTAGGACCATTATTGTTTTCTGTATATATTGTTTTCTGTATTGGTAATTTTAATTCAATATTAACCTCGTGTTCTTCACACTATTATGCTGACGATACACAATTGTATTTAAGTTTTGATCCAGATGAAAGTACTCAGGCTATAACTGCAATAAACTATGATTTAAGAGAAAATATTCCACTCAACATTGTTTGCTCTTAAATGCCTCTAAATCAGCAGTAATCATGTTTGGTAAAAGTAACCTTATTAAACAATGAACCCCTTAAAATTCAAAATTGTGTGAAAAATTTGGGACTTTTAATGGATGAGGATCTGCGTTTTTCTGAGCATGTTGGAAGTCGCTAAAAAGCGGCGTACTATAACTTAAAGCAAATTTACCATGTAAGACATTTGTTAAATTTAAAATCCAAGTCAATTTAATGTAATAGTTTTGTTTTTTCCTTATAAAATTATTGTGATACTGTATATGGTCCATGTCTTACAAAATAAAATGCTTTCCGAATCCAAAAGTTGCAAAATTGCTGCCTTCGATTAATATTTGGCATAAGGAATTAGTTACACCCTATTAATAATCAAGTGGTTAAATATGGAAAACAGGCGCAAAATGCATTCAATTTGTTTCTTTTAGAACCTTCTTAAAACTAAGGCACCAGGCTACTTACATCGAAAAGTTTCGTACCGCACTGATATTCATAATATAAATATTAGATTTAAAAACTCCATAACAGTACCGATTAATCGTACTGAATTATATAAAGGTCTTTTTCTTATATCCTCCCTAGCTACGTTAATGACTTGCCACTTAATTTACGGTCTTATATGTTGAAATGGTCACTGCGCTTGTTTAAAGCCAAAGTTTTCGATATTCTATTTATGGAGCAGCAATGACACTCTTAATATTTATTTAATGTCTATTTGGGTTTATTTTTAAGTTATTGTATACTTGGTATTTCTACTTAGCATAATTGTTTTGTTTTGTTATATATAGCTATTATTTTAATAATATTGTAGCCGGTATAGCTGGCATTTTTTGGTTGAATGTAAGAATGAATTTTTACATTTTTAATGTTTAAATTCAAATTCCATCATTTGGAATAGTGTATTTCCTTATTTCAATAAAGACGTTTATTATTATTATTATTATTATTTTTATTATTATAACCTTATTGTAAATTTTGTATTATTTTGCTTCCTTAAATACCTATCTATTATAATTTCAATAAAATTAGTTCCTTAAAATTTATAATTAATAAAATTAAAATAAAAATATTAAAGAGGTTGTAAACTAAGGATTTTTCTTGGTATGCCACACATTCTATTTCAGTTTTCCATTTACCAAGTTATTGGTTCTTAATAGGCCATTTCATACGTATCGTAGCAGACAATTTTTACTTTATTAGGGACTACAGCAAATTGCACGTCGGAAATTCCATATCAGATATTTTGTCTAATATTTTTATATTATATTATCCTACACGAACACTAATAAATAAATTACTTTATCGACTTTTCTATTTTTATGGGTTCGTTTTTTAACAGAATACAAAATAAATAAGATTTACCCAAAAAATACAAATTGTATTGAAAAAAAAATGTTTTGTAACAATTATCTAAATTGCCATTTAATCTTGTTAATGATTTCTTGGCATGTTTAAAAATATGGATTTTTTGTACTCAATTATTTGCTTTAACTTGTACATACATCAAACACGAAAGGCTACATTATGTAAACTTCAATATTATATTATAATGCATAAAAAAATAATAAACCTACACAAATCTAATTTATAATTTCAGTAAGATAAAAAAAACTAGTTGTTTAATTTTTTGTACAAAATAATATTTTATCCATAATAAGTATAATTTAAATAACAAATCGTTGATACAAATATTAAATGGATTATATAAAGAGAATATATTATTTTCATGTTTGTGATATTTTTTAATACCAACATTTAAAAAATTTAGTTAATAAATAAAGTCAGTCTACCTGATCTACTTTAAACCCATAAAATTACTTAAAATTTAATAGGAATGTCCAAAATTAAATTAACGATCGTTGCTTGATTTACTTGCAATAATAACCTATAAAAAGTAAATAGATTATAATCTATTTAGATAGGTCATAATAGGTCATATTATATTATTTTTATATACAACATTTTATTTTAAATGGCAGAGTAACGTACAATATAAATGCAAACAGAGAATACCTTTTACAGAGAAATTAAAAATGATAACTAAACATATTAAACTTATAGTGGTGGCGGACAAAACTTATATATATTTAATTTTAAATTAGTTTAATAAATTTCAAGGACTTTATGTGGTTTAACGTTTGTAAGGTATTCTTTGACTTTAGTCGAAAATTAAAAATTAAACATGTATGACAAATTTTAAAATCATGTTTTCTTTTTTACAGCTCATGTAATATTTGTACCATACATTTCTTTACTTAAAACACACAATTTAAAAGTAAGTTAAACTTTAAGGGATTTAAAATACCAGACATACAGCATTGCCATATGTCTAAAAATGTATTCAATGACTAACTAATCATAGACTAAAAAGTTTTGTGCATAGGGCCATCCAAAATTTACTTTTTGTATCATGCACGTAAAAAGAATATTCTGTAAAAAGTTTAAAATACGCATATTCTGTACGAGTGAAAAGTTTGTCACACAAGCCAAAGGCGAGTTGTGAAGGGTTCACGAGAGCGCAATATGGAATTCCAAACGAGTTTCAGACTATACTTTTTCTACGCTTGTGAAAAATACCAAAGGAAAATAACTTTATTGGGTAAAACTGAGTTTATTACAGATGTTTATTTTAAGGTTACAATGACAAAGGCTAGTTTGGAAATTCCCGATTTTTCCATCATTAAAATCGGTGATAAATTATAACACCTTTTAAGATATACGCAATTCCACTTTAAAAAGTGACTTAAGAACGTTCATATTCCGTAATCAGTGTGTTAAAAACTTTTATCTACGTCAGTGAGATAAGAACTTCTTATCCCACTTATTTAGAGTGAGATAAGAAGTTCATTAACGCACGCGTTTTTCTCTGCTTTTAACCAATCAAATAAAAAAGTCAAAATGTCAAAATGTCAAAATAACCCTAAATTAAGTCTTAGACAAAAATAATTACCGTTTATTTTTTCATTTAGAGGCGTAGATAAAAATTTGTACAATATACGTGTGATAACGCTTTATTAGCGTACTTTTGCGATTGCCCAACTCGTGCTACGCACTCGTTGGGCAAATTTCGCATGCGTACGTTAATAAAGCTCTTATCCCACTTATATCGTAAATAACTATTATAGGCGTAAAATAACATTTTTTTATGCTCTCTTTTACATTGGAAGTTAAAACTAGCAGCACTTAACAAATGTCACTGTTTCCTAATAGATTAAAATTATTAGGAAATACCTACATAGGTAACCTTTTGCAGCAATTTTCATATACAGATTTATAATAACGGGGTTACTTAAAATATATCTTTGTCATTTGGTTTTTTTGTAAGGTTTCACGTTTTACCATGGATGATTTCATTCTACCACAATGTTAAGAAATTCAAATTATTCCATCTCCTTTTTTTGCAGTACGTATTTTTGGCTAAACGGCTTTGTTTCTGCAAAAAATAATTGTTTGATGTAAATTATGATATGAAGGCATCATCTATCTTTATTTTTTTAACAAGGAAGAAAAAAGCGTTATCGTGAATAAAAAACATTATCAGTTAATGTCCATAATTTTTTTTTTCATAAATTTTGAAGAAATTGCTTTGGTCGTCTTTAATTTTTACCTAGTCGATGAGACTTGCCACATTGCTGGCTTTACAATGGACTTATTGTGCGGAAGTTTGGTGCAATAATTATAAAAAATGGCTTTGAGGCTGTGAAACTCAAAATATTTAAATACTTATATAAAATAACAAGGTTACAGCAACAACTTTACGGATCTGAATATTTTAGAAGACAAAACTAGTGACTAGTGGTATTATCCAATAATTATATATAAAGGAGTGACCATTTTATTTTAATAATAAATTTCATAAAAATGCTCTTAAATAAAACCATTTACATTTTTCCCTTTAACCAAAGTAGTTTTATTTATTAGTTAGGATCTTCTTAGTTATGCGGTTATTTTTTTATATGCCATTTGTAATTACTCATAGTGTGTATTGGAAGTTTTCAGATATGCCAATAATTTATTGATGAATGTTTATTATTACATATTCATGATTCAAATCAGCAGTACATACATATTGCAATTTAAATTCATAATATTTTGTTTAATGCTAATTTACCAATCAATGTCTTTTATCTTTAATCATTCTATTATTTTAGCTTTACTATTGCCAAAGCTTACTACCAAACTTTCTTAGGATGTAAAAATAATTTAGACCAATGAGGTAAAGTTTTTACCATCCCAGTCTGTAGCAAAACCAGTTGGGACCAATAACAAAATACTTATATAAATTAAAATTTTGCATGCCATTCGACTGAGAAGTGTCTTTTTGTGCTCGCTCAATTGTTGGCCTCTACTAAGGCGTCGGCCCTTAAACTTTGAGCTCAGCACAAAAATACGTACTTCTCAGCCATGAGATAAATAACTATTAAATTCATTTAATTAAGGTCATTAAAATCTTTCACCGTACCACGGTGTCCCGTAAAGATCGACTTTAATTTATTTATGTATGCATGGAAAAATATTTTAATATTTATCACGATGCGTTTGGACAAGGTAGTATGATATTTTATTAAAATATGAAAATTAAATGTGTTTACTTACTGCTTCAGTGTGGATGGGATGAGCAGCAAACAAGAGGGCGGCAAGGGTGGCAAAGGGGGGTTTTAGTCCCGCCACGCATATACACACCCTAGCAAACAGGACGCAAGCTGCCGCGTGTAACAGCACGTTGGTCAGATGAAACCAAAGCGGTTGCAGTCCGAATATTAGATAATTGGCTCTGAAACAAAAAATAAAACATTTTTATTTCGAGTCTTATCCAAAGTTGCAATAATTGCGAGTACGCCGGGATCACAAATGGTATTGTATTATTTCTTATTTTAATAAAAAAATATTAACTAATTTTATTTATATACCCTTGCTTATAAAAAAATAAACCAATTTTAAAAGTTTGAAGGTCAGACAAATCTTAGTTAAATATTTTTTGGTGATATATATATTTTCTTTAGAGGATTAAAGAATGGGGAATGCGCCGGGGTTATATTAAATATTATATTATCATTTAGTCAATGATATTATAGTAGTTTAAAGAAATTAGACTCCTTTGGCTTTTCTAGGTCAATGATTTCATTATTTAAATCATATCTTTCGAAGAGAGTTCAATACGTTGAGTTTAAGGGTGTAAAATCTGATGTGTATCACGCTACTAGTGGTGTAACACAGGGAAGCAATCTTGGTCCATTGATGTTTCTCATATTTGTTAATGATATATCCTGTAATATTCAATCAGCAAATCTGTTATACGCAGACGATTTCAAGATATTCAGATCAATTAATACCATAAATAACTGTCATCTTTTGCAAGACGATCTGAGTGTATTGGATGCGTGGTGTGTAGGAAATCGGCTTTTATTAAATATATGTAATGTAATGTAATGTCATGACATTTTCAAGAAAAATCAACAGCATAACATTTCAGTATGCAATTGGTTCGGAAAAAGTTGAAAGAGTGGATACAATGCGGGATTTGGGTGTTCTGTTTGATGGTAAAATTTCATTTGTTCAACACATTAACAATACAGTTGCATCTGCAAATAGAATGTTGGAGTTTGTGATTGGAAACTCTAAACACTTTACTAATATTCACGCTATAAAATGTTTATTTTTTGCATTTGTTCAAAGTAAATAATAATAATAATAAACACATGTTATTTGTTATTTTACTTTGTTCATATTGAAAGAGTTCAAAAGAGATATTGTAAATACTTGTTTTTTAAGATTAATGGCTATTATCCTTTAATAGATTTTGATTATGAAAAGTTCTGCACTTTTTTGTATTTACCCTTGCTCATCATCATTTTGCTACGGAAATAAAATATAATATTTAATTAAATGATTATTTTTTTGATATTTTGGAATGGTTGCTTAGTTTATTTTAGCTTTATCTTAACTTATTTATTTTACACAACTTTTGGTCGAAAGCTAAAAAAATCTGCCTGTGATAAAAAGTGGCTATTCAATAATCCTGTATTCGTAACTCAAACATTAACGGAGCTATAAAAATTTGTCAAAATTAGCAAAAATTAAAAAGTTGATTATATCTCATAAATAAATGCAAATCGGGAAAATTCGCAGACATAATTCGATGTTTCTTTAAAAAAGAGGACGGGGATGAGTGGTCAAATTTTTTATAGCATTTATATTTACTGAGATAGCCTATACGGCAGTGGCGGCTCGTGGCAGTAAAATTTGTGAGTTCTGCCAGTGGGGTTTAAAAAAATGTGGCGCAGTGGGCATTTAATTAAATGGTACCCAAAGTTAATTAATTAAATCATAATTAAATCATACACCACATTCATTCTTACAAAAGAATACAACAACAAACACAAAAATACACCAAATTAACAGTCTTCTAGTTAAAATAAAAACGTGAACGCGAAGCGAAAAACAAACGACCGGGAAGTAGGAACTGTATGTTGGTGCAGCTCCGGTTTGGCTTAAATTTCACTATCTTAAGCTAGGACCAAGAGCGGCGCGGAGCAAAATTACGATATTGAAATGGGAGCCAGAACTCGAAAGTGGCCCAGCTTTGTTGTATTGTAAGCGTTAAGACCTTTACCGGTCGTTTGGATGACTGTAGTGGCCAAGTACGGCGAATGTTTATAATAAAAACTTTTTATGCAGCCATGTGTTTGAAATATTCATACACTGTCGCACTTAAATATTAAATAATTAAAAAATTAGTTAAGTAATAAGAAAATTTTGGGAGTTCTGCAGCTCTGCAGCCCTTATGCACTAGCCGCCCCTGCTATACGGACAACCAATTTGGGACATTTTGTATATACTTCTAAACAAAATAATACAATTCGTCGCGACTCATTGTATGAAAATTATAACTGGCAAAAAATTTATATATTATGATTAAAACACTTTACAACAAAAAACTCTTAAATTATTGTGTAAACAACATCAAATTTAGCCACAACCAATAAAATAAAAACCCAAATGTTGTTTTAACATTTCTATTTCAGGTGTTTGACAAACATTATTAAAAACAGTTTTTGTGCGGGCAAACAAAAAACGCATAATATCCACGCCCGTAGGTAGATAACAATGAATTGTATCGAAATTTCCCTTTCATGTCGTTTGCCGTTGTGACAATCGGCTGTAACAAGCAATAACAATTATACCTCCGACCGCAATCGACCGATACGACCACCACTGTTTCTAATAACAGTCGGTGTAACGGCGACGCACTGGCTATTAACTCCAACTTCTCGACCTCCGCCGGGATAATAACACTCTTCTCCAGCCCGCAAAACCCACCGCGAACCGTGATTGCTACGTGCCCAATAATCGACCATTAATATCACCTAAACTGTATAACTTTAAGTTTCCCCTGATTAAGCTATTGTCCAGTCAAATTAGATGAAATAATGGCAATACTTTAACACGCACTTTGGATTAAAAAATAACTGTTGAAAATTGTTTTACCTATGATTAAAACCCAAAAGTATCTACGTAAAGGAGAATCCATACTATGGTGTCGTCCAATTCGTTATAACGCGTCATAACGTCGAACAAGGTCGAAAGCAACGTTTAGTCAAGCTTTTGCTGCTGCGATAATAATTATTATAATATAGGTACCTATCTTATATTATAATTATGTTTCTCGCTGCCGCGCTTCTCCCAATCTTCACGGCCTTTAAAGTCCTAAAAGGCATTTCCAAAGCAGCAATTTCGCATGGTCCTACATTTATGAAATACGCACCGGAGCGATTTTGGATAAATGCTTATCAGAAAATTCAACTTTTTTAAAATGCGTTTTATGAGCAAAACCTTAATCATTATGCGATGTATGGCTGTTTTTTTATGAAATACTATTAAAAATACCTCGATTTTACATCATGATTTTATTTTCTGCTCAACGTGATCTTGATTAGTGAAATTGGACGGCTTTCTGCAGAATGGGACCAACCCACACCATGATGAAACTGAGAAAAAAGCTATCAAAGATTTTAATAATTTTAAAATTACCTGTTAATTTTATGCCGATTTTGGACGTACGGAGGTTTAAGGGATATAATTTAATAATTTCATCAGGTGTATTTTGTGATGTTATGTGTAAGGGTGACGAAAAAAATGGGCTTTTGTTGGTTGGTTCCTTTCTGCAATTTATGAAAACTACTATCTGATGTATGTATGTATTTAAAGAAAAGCGACAATTATTTATTTCCAAACAAAATACAACTGATATTACTATTATAATGGTAATATGAATAAATTGTGATTCTATTTGAAATTCGTCCACATCATCTTTCAACCCCACCTCATCTTGTAAGCTACCAAAAAAATGCATCAAGACTTTATATTTTGCAGAAGCAGGAAATCTTTAAAGACTTTGGTAGTGGGTCTACCAGCCTGCTTTTTTACAAAAAAGATCCAACCCACTTGCAGATATTCTACAGATTCTAATTCTGGATTAGTAATCCACACTATTATTGAATGTTGGTTGGTTCAATGATTAATAGATTTCACTACACTTGCATTTTGGCTATGACCTATTTTGCAGATAAATTATACATACTTAATTAGTTCATAGGCTAAATATCTCGATTTTTTTGGTTTTGTGGGTTGGTTCCTTTCTGCAGAAAGGCGTCCAATTGGATGGGGATTAATTGTTTCGACTTTTACTGGATGAAACTCCATATATAATCTTAATATAAATTACGCTGTTTAAAAGTTTCCCTATTTTAGCGTTATACAATACAATCTTTATAGTTATATAACACTATACTTTTTAAATATTTTAAAATAAGTTTAATAGCGGGGAATTATTGGTTTCTATTTGGTCATTGAGAATAATATCAGTTTTCTTTAATTTGTTAATTTACAACGACTTCAATGATGGGTCAGAAGTTTTGATGGTATGCAACCTTATTCCACATTTTAATAGAAGTAGTCCACGTTTTTCCATAATAGCATATAACATGAAAACGGTTTAAAAACGCTCTTAGCGTTTTTGTAATTATTCTATGATATTCAGTAGATTTACAGAAGTTCTACAATACCAACTTTTTATTAAAATTTAACCATTTTACCATTTACCATTTTGGTATTTAATGGTAAATTTTACTATACCAAACTTTCCCAATATGAAACAAAAGTGAAAAAGAGTTTTTAATTTTTAAAATAAAGTTTTTCATTCATATACGTGTATCGTATCTAGACATAATTTAAATTAAACTATTTAAATATCTGCCAAAGTCGCAGTTATTTGGGTTACATTGTTTTTTATGTATATGGGCGAATCTCACGAAATGTCTCCCGATGGTGTTACCCCGTGATATTTAATAAAACTAAATGAGTTTGACCTACACTTTTATTGTGTTTTGATCTTTCAAAATTAAGTAGATATTACAGCTCAGGTTCCAGATTTTTAACGGCAATTAATTATTTTTTACAATGTTTTAAAAGTCTAAAACCTATCCTCCGTGACTTACTCTTTCTAGGTTAACCTATATGTTTTTAAATATCTGAGGTAGTAAAAGCATACTAAAAATATCAGTTTACTAAGTAAATTATACACATCCAAAGCAATCGAATAAAATATAAAATATTATTAAAAATTAAAAGAAATAATTTTTATAACCATTTATGTAGGTGTTACAAAAATTGATTCTATCCTCCGTGAAATTTTATGCAACGAATGGCGCTTTAATCATTTTAAATAAGCAAAAGGTCAGTTAGAATTTATATGCTGATAAGAATGTTTCTGTTTTATAATTCAAAAGTTCATTAATTTGCTATTTAAAAACCTGTCCATTGTGAAGTGTAATATCTCAGTAAGTATATTTTTTATAAATATGGTATGTATGTACAATTGTATTTTTAAAAAATATTAAGGTGTCAAAAGATACAATAGCTTATTTCAAATATACAAAGGGATGTTTAAAAAAAAAACATTCGAAAATTCTTGCATTAGTGCAAAACCACTTATGTTATGTTATTACTAGACGTGGTGGCTTTCCAAAAACCCCATTCTAGACTATAAGTGACACAACCAAAAATATAAATAATTTTTCACTTGGGGGACATCTCAATATATTCACCCATATGCATTTTTCTCTTAGTTCTTATTAAGACCTCTAAATATAAATTTACTCCAATAAACAGAACAACAGTAACAAGGCATTTGGTGTACACCTTTTTATTGCTGAGGAATTTGTAGAAATCAAACACTGGCCAAGTTTCCAATTGAATTAAAAATTAGGTTAAATGTATGATTAAGTACTGTAGATTAATATACTGCAGTATAGAACAACAACTTTACGAAGTTTACCAAGAATAATTTATGACTTAATTGAAACATCCTATCAAGTTATAAGAGGAGACGTCTAAAATCCTAATAATTGTCAAATATTTTTAGTAAATCGCGGGTGGCATTGCCTAATATTATTGAGCCTGCCCCTAAGGCCCTCGACAATATGTTTTAATATCAATCTTCTTATAATTTCTTAAGAAATACCTAAGTAGTAGATAGTTTTAATAAATTTCATTAGTTGTATGTTTTACCCCAGCAGCTCAAGTTATACATTTATATAAAATAGGTTTGTATATTATAAAATAAAAAACATGAATTAATAAAAACAACTATTCCAATAATACCCATTAAATTAATTACATTTTTAAGGATCAAAATCAGCTACAATAAAAATAAGGTCTTTGAATGTAATGTAATGTAAACTAGTGTAATTGAAATTCAAATTGTTTTCCAAGTCAAGCAGAAAAGAATATATTTATTTATCGTGCTTCAGATAAAAACCATAAATAACCTGGTCGGTAATAAAGATCGCGATAACAAGGGATGGGTACACACCTCCTTCTCTTAATAATTAATGTCAATCAGCATAAGTTGCATTAAGCGATTGAATCTTTGAGCTGGCGGGTCTTGCATGTTAATTGCCTCATTACTTCACTTATCTCGAATTATTCGAAAATGAAGAGAATAAGGAGCGCAGCAAAGGTGATATCTTTAAATAGAAAGATTTAACCACGTATTCCATTATGCCGCGACATGAGCCATAAATAAAAGCCTGTGCCCGTTTGATGTCTATAAATTTAAAATGGGGTTTCAATTATAAGGGATAATAGGAAACAGGGTATTCAGCACACAGTCACTTCTTGTTCCTTTATCTAAAGTCTATTATTTAATGGGGTTTCATTACGATATAGTGAAGAACAAGCATATTCAAGGGATTATTACTCTATAGACGTTTATAGGATTTTATGCAAATAATCTGTGGAAATTAAAATATAGCACATGGCAAGGGGGAATTAATTTTATTTTTAATTACATATTCACCACCTTCATGCATAAGACATAATGTTTTATGTTTAGTGTTTTTGCATTTTTGAATAGTTTTTGATATATTTGTAACATTAATATGATTAATGGTACACGTGAATTTACCATTTAGATATAGATGTTTGTTACTCATTCCTTATGTTAAGACATAGAATACCCTCTGTTTCTGGTATTATATAATAAGTTTTTTTATATTAATTATATTCTTAATAATACAATGTGTACAAAAGGAGTGTACGAGGTGTGTTAAGAAAATATCGGGAATTTTAGTTTTTTTTAACAAATATTTATTTATTCGTCTACATTAATGTTGTCGCCTTCAAAATAGTCCCCATTGGATATTATGCACATGTGCCAGCTCTTCTTCCAATAATCGAAACACTTCTAAAACTCGATCTTTGGGATAGCCTTTAGTTCTTTCAGCGATGCGCTTTTAATAATAATAATATAGTAATAATAATAATAATAAGTTTATTGTGAAAAAAGTACATTTTACAATTGGAAAGAGTTCAGCTATGCTGATCTTCCACTCTCCCATGTATACAATACAATTAAATCAATACAAATAACAAAACTTAAATACTTCCTAAACATTATGCTACAGATTTACCATTAATAATACGATTTCAACCAAAACAAAAAAAGGAAAATAACAAAAATTTCATAAATGTCAATGTCATCTATGCTTGCAAAACGACGGCCCTTTAAGGTTCTCTTTATTTTTGGGAATAGGAAAAAGTCAGACAGACGCATGTCTGGCGAATATGGAGGCTGAGGCATCATTACAGTATTGTTACAGTTACAGTATGTTTGGCCAAAAATGTTGTTAAAAATTTAACAATTTTAGAACAAATTTTGCTGCGACGCGTTTCATACCCAAAACATTCGAAACAATTTCATGGGATGAGCCAATCAATATACCAACATCATCAGCGATTTCTCTGATGGTTTATAACCATTTCTTAAACTTTTTCCATGTTTTTATCGGTTGTTTAT